ATCATGACCTGAGCTGAAATCAAGAGTTGGACACTTAACTGGCTGAGCCACCCAGGCATCCCTACCACCTAGTTCTCATACGGCGGCTAAAGGCAGTCATTCAAAATGTCCATCATAGGACTTCACTCCTCCAATCAAAACTTCCAATGGTTTCTGGTCATAATTAGAGCCCACAAAAACCCTAAGTCATTACCATGATGAGACAACCCACCCCATGGCTTCCCATCCTAATCCTTTTGCACATCTGGCCCCACTGGCCTTGACTCTTCCTCAAACAGCCATTGGGTCCTGCCTTGGAGCCATTACCCTGCAAGGTGCTTCTCACAATTCATCACATTAAATGCCAGCAAATTCCAGATGCCACCCCATCTAGAAGGCTCATCCAACGACCCTAAGACAGAAGCTCATCCCCATTTGCTGATTCTGCTTCACTTCTGCTCATACACTCAGTTCTACCTGGCCTTACAGGATCTGACTGTTTACCTGCTGGTTGTCTATCCCTCCTTCTAGAGCATAAGCTCCATGAGGGCAGGGAGGGCTTGGATGGCTGCTGTATCCCTAGGGCATGGAAGAGTGCAGGTCACTGAACTTACAACCCAGAGCAACAAAAGCCCTTCCTATCGGGACGTGCATTGGCACATATTTGTCTCCAGGCCAGTTCAGGTCTGTGGACACAAGGAAAGGAGAAATTACCAAAATCCACTGCTGAGACACGGGGGGGCGGATTCAGTCAGCGCTTTGGGATTCCAGGGGTCTGTGCCTTGTAGCCCTTAACTTGTGGGGTCAGAGCCAGCCAGGCCTGTCAGCAGAGTGGGGAGGGCACCCTTAGGTGACTAAGTGCTTTAGGAAGGCCTCAGGACCACAGACAGCTTCATCACTAACTAACCTATTGTCATATCTTGAGTTTTACCCTTAGTAATTCTTTTCTTTGTTTCGTCCTCTCACTAACTTTATACATATTTGACTCATGAGGAACCCATCCATGAGCAGGTGGAGCGGGGGCTGGAACTCTGGGGACCATGTCTTCTCCATCAGGTCGGACCACCTCCCAAGGGCCCCCCTGGCCTCTTGAGTGTGATTATCCTGGGACAGCTCTGTACAGAACTCTCTTAATAAAAGGCATTCTTCACACTTACAGCGTTAGGTTTTCAAGATACGGAATGGAGAGAATGAATGCTTAAGGAGGGGTGAGGGGTCGGCGTCTAGAGCAGTAGAATCAAACACAGCCTCCAAAGTGCTACCTGGTTGTTTGGGGTGCGAAAAAATCTTTGTCCTGAGGGCCAGAACTTTCATGTAAACCTGGCATTGGGAAGGGGTAAGGCCCTGAAGACAAATAGTCCTTACTGAGAAACACCTGGATCATCTTGGAAAGAGATAGTTGCATTGAAAGGGGCCAGTGCTTGGTCATGAAGTGAAATTTGGGTGTCATTCTTCCAGAACCACATCTGCCCTATTTGAGTCACTTGAGCTTTCCAAGTGATCGTCTGGTTCAGCTCGCCAAGGGTGACCGTACAACGCATTGTTCAAACAAGTGTGCTCTTGAGAATGGAAGGGGGGGTGGTACGCCCAGTGACACCAGCACAAGAGTAGGGCTGGGACTCTCCAGGCTAATGGGAGGCCAAGTCCCCTAAGCATCTATCTCTTCTTCTAACCATGAGGAATTGAGTCATGATCTAGTATTTTAATGCACCAAATAAGGAAGCAAGAGTCCCCAGCCTCACCATCATCACTGGCCTCCCTGCCTCCCCTGCTCCTGTCCCCTGCCCCCGGGTCTAATCTATGCTTTTCCCTAAAGGGCTACATCCTCCTCTGGCTCTCTTGCATCAGATACCGTCACTGGAAAGCGTATTTCACCTGCACTTTCCTGATCACCACCAGCTTTCCCGGGCAATCCCCTTTGTAAGGGGCTCTTCTGGGCACTACGTGCACTCTTTAGCCCTCAGCAGCACCCTGATGGTCTGGTGGGGGAGCCTGTCCTTCCGGGGTTGCCCCAAGTCGCTGGCCCCAGGCTTTGGAAAAATCTCTTCAACAGGGTGCTGCTTACACTCATCTGTTTGAAAGCTGGTTCCCACGCCCTCAGGAGGAGCTAAGCACACCAGAACTACTGAATGCAACTTTGCTAAGATCAAAGTCAGAACTTGCCGAGGCTTCGTGTCTGCAACTACCTAGAAATCCCTCTGCTCTCCCCCGGGGAGCAGAAGAGATGGCGAACAAGTGTGCAGGGGGCAGCGAGAACTTGGACCCAAAGAACACTTCCTGGAGCTCGTTTCCTACAGCCTCTGTCAATGGACTGAGCTCAGCACGTAGTAGCTGTTCGGTAAATATCAGCAGAGCGATTGCACGATCAGCTCCACTGTTGAGTCAAGGCAGTGGGCCTGGGGCTTCATAGCAAATTCTGGAACTCTTAGAGAGAGCTCTCAGGAAGAGATCGTAGAAGTGGTCAAATCCAGTCCCCCTCATCGGTTTCAGATTAAGACACCCAGCAGAGGACCCCGAGAGGTGAGGTGACCTGTCCAGTTTTGCGAATGTCAGAGGCGACGCCAGGCTCAGGCCTCCCGACCTCCCCTCTGTCCATACCACGTGGCTGTAGGTCAGCCGGCCCTCTGACCACAACCGCTGGCCTGATGTCTTACAGCCATGACCCAGAGGCTCAACTTCAGCACCAGACACCCTCGCTCTGGCCTGTGACCATAGTGCCGTGACTGACCACACACCCCAGCGGCCCCCTGCCCAGCAAAGTCACTCTCTCCTCTTGGTGTTATTCCCCCCTGGCATGCTGCCACCCTGCCCCTCTCCCCGCTGTATTCCTGTTGGCTCAAGAGGTCCCTGCCTTCTGGATACCAGGAGTGATATCTTTTCTGTTTTCTTCTCTCTAACATTGCAATGCTACCTACCACTCATATATGATATGAAAGGACGACTTGCTGTGTGACCAGGGGCCAATCGATCACCATCTCTGGGCCCCCTCTGGGATCTGTGAAATAAATACGATGCTGCCAACCTGTCACAGAGCACGGCTGTGTCCGAATACGTACGCCATCGCGTAAATACCTTGGAAATACATAGTCCAACAACAGCGCTCAACGGTAAATGCCTTCTGCTGAGAGCATTTCTTGGAGAACTTGAAAGAGGACTTTTCTCTCTGAGATGAAAGACACAGGATGGCTCTGAGCAGCTCTAAGCTGTGTGTGCTCTGTCTGAGCACCCAGCCCGGAGCCCAGCATCGGCTTTGGGTAGGGGCGGGGGGAGGAAGGCACTAGAAGTCTAGGGGTGAGGATGTCGTGTGGAGACTCTCTTCTTCGAGGAGCCCCAGGTGCTCCTTCTCGGGGTCTGTCCAGGCCACCTGCCCCTAGCAACGGCCGGTGAGGGGAGCGGCCATCCCTGCTCAGCTGGGTCCCCGGTGCTGAGATAGCGCTGGGAGCTGCTTTTAATTAGAGGCCCTCCTTCCCTGTGTTCCACGGGCGACTGGTTTCCGAGTTTCCCACACCCCTCCTGCCTCCCAGGAGCAACGTTTTAAAGACTCCAAACCGTCTGGAATAAGAAAGGAGAAAGCTGTCATTCTGCGAGCGGCATGATGGCTTCTGCTGGCTTCCCAGTCATTTGGAGGTGGTCAGAAACACGACTTCTGCCATCCAGGCATGGCCTAGGGAGCCTGGTACGACCTTCTCCTTCCCAAGCCACCAGCTCTGCTTACCCACATCGAGCACCTGCCAGGCCCACAGATTATCAGACATGGTCTCTTAGGGACGGAAGCTTGACTTGTGCTATGACAGAGATGTAGACAGTGTACCCCTAGACATAGAACAAGGCCAAGGAGGAAGTAACAATGGAAAATCTGGCCTGGTTGGTTTTACTCACTAGGGGTTCATGTGGAAAACGCAGCCCTCCCCCTACTCTGCCGTCAGGCCCTGATCCGGATTAGAATCTGCTCCTTCGCATAGCTGACGGAGCCCACGTTCATTTAGAACACACGGAGCTCTGGACCAGCTGCCATATTCGGCAAACAAAAATACGGGGTGCCCCGTTAAACGTGAACTTCGGACAAACAACACATAATTTTTGAGTGTAAGCATGGCCTCAATATTTCATGGGACATACTTTTCTTAACCTGGTATTTCGGGCATATTTGCACTAAAAATGATTCACTGTTGATCTGACATTCACATTGAACCGGGCGTCCTGTATTTTATCTGGCAGCTCTCTTCTGAGGTCATCGGAGAGTCCCAGACCAGAAACCAAAAAGTCCACTCTACCCAACAGTGGGTTACGTGGGGATGCTTCACAGTTGGGGGAGATCAGGAAGGAAAACCAGGAGGAAGAAAGTGGCTGTGTGTCACCAGGATGGAAGAAGACAGGGCTCTAATCACAGAAGCGTCCACCTCATACATACCTAAGCTTGTGCTGTTGTTTTTTTAAAATTTTTTAATGTTTATTTAGCTATTTTGGGGAGAGAGAGAGAGACAGGGACAGAGCACAAGCAGGAGGGAGCCGAGAGAGAGGGAGACACAGAATCAGAAGCAGGCTCCAGGCTCCGAGCTGTCAGCACAGAGCCTGACGCGGGGCTCGAACCAACAAACCGTGAGATCGTGACGTGAGCGGAAGCCGGAAGCTCAACTGACTGAGCCATCCAGGCGCCCCTAGGCTTCTTTTAAACTATCAGCATCCAAAGGGAGAGTGAAATGACAGAGACGGTCCCAGGCAGGGCCTGCGGGGTGAACCTGGTCTGCTCAGAGGCCAGAGGCCTGACCGTAAAAGGAGGAAGGACAGTGGCCACCTCTAAGAACTCGCACTTTAGCCCAGTAATTCCCAGCCCTTTTGCTATTGTTGTCCCAGTCATGGTCTGCTTTGATGCCTACTCTAGCCCCACGCCAAACATGTGTCATGTGGCTGACATCGTGAATTTTCCCTCCGCTCAAACCTGATTCTGCTCGAGAATGGTTTCTGAACATAGAGAACTCTCAGACGTCAAACGAACAGGGTCAAGAATCTCGGCCGTGGCAACCAGAAAGTTCTAGATCACCAAAGGAGAGACGGGAATAGGAGCTCAGATGAGGAGGGCAAAGCCTTCACCACCCAGGGGTCCCTTTCTGGGGGAAGTGACCGAGTGGAGTCTGGAAGAAGAGGAGGAGCCTGAAAACCGGCCCCTGGCTGGGACCGGTGGCCTTCTCCGAGAGGCCCCAGGCTGGGTCCGAGCCCCAGGGGCACAGGGCAGGCACATCCCCGCTTCTCAGGAGCAAGAAGGCGACGCCTGCTGCTTCCTAGAACATTGCGGCTCGGACGGTGAGCAGCTCTCCTGGGTTTCCTCTTATGTAAATGATCATCAACAATGCACTGGGCCCACGCGTTGCGTAAACCAGGCCTGATAGTTTAAGCCCTCTCCGTTCACGGAGCATTTTGCGTTTCCTTTGTTCTCCTCTCCAGTTTCCCACTTTGCCGACCGAGCTCTGAAGAGCTGCACGTGGTCGATAGGGAAGGGCCGTTTGGGCGGCGGGGAGAGGCCATCCCCTCTCTCTGCACGTCTCTAGTTTCGGCTTGGATATCAATTATAGGCTTTTACATAAGAAGGCTAATGCGCTTTCAAAGCAGGCAGATCACCCCCTTCCCCCCCCCATGTTTTGACAGTTTGGCTTGAGTTGAAATATAATTAAACTTTTCGAAAACAAGGGCTTTGAAACTCAATCTCCACACTGTTTACACGTTCTTTTTTTTTTTTCTTTCTTTCTTTCTTTCTTCCCTAAGAGTCGGGTTTTTACTTGCTGCAGTGCAATTAATTCGCCCTTCACTTTCTGCGCCCAACACGAACGCTGGTTTGCAGCATTCGGCCTTTATAGGCTGCAGAGCCGAGAGTGGAAAAAATAAGATCTGGAACAGGATGAGCTTTTGATGACACCTCCTCATGACAGACACATTTGAAAACCACCACTGGTGACTCACTCACATTCTGCGCATACCCTCTCCGAAGCGCAGGAAGTGTGGGTATTTTAAACCCTCGGGCCATGAGAAGTTTTCGGAGGCGTCTTCAGGCTTGGCCGGCGCCCCTCCCGCCCAGGGAGCTTGCCGTGGCCTCGCGAAGTGTGGCCTCGCTTTCTGCCAGCCTCTCCCGCTTTGTTCTCCTTGCCCTGGTTTTGCTTTCATGCTGGCAAGCCCAGTCTAGAAAGTACAGAGCTAGCGAATTTCTAAAACCAACAAAAACTTACAAAAAAAAAAAAAAAAATCAGCAATGACAACAGAGCCCGGCGGTTGGTAAGGGGGGGCGGGGAGCAGATACAGTGCCACAAGATGTCCTCAGGCGGCTCGCTGGGGACCCAGCCTTGTGGCTCTGCGGCCAAAAAAGAAAGAAAGAGGGTCCCAGCCAGCACTTTCACTTCTCAACCCGAGCGAGTCGTCAGCTGTGGGTAGTGAGTCCTCACACCTCGGCTTCACTATCTCCAAAGGCCAAACGAACAAGAAGGGGTAGGGGGTGGGGGGAGCGGGCGCGAGATGCAACTGAACTGAAATCAAATGACCTTAGACGGAGGATTAAAACAAGAAAAAGAAAACAAGAACTTGATGGAAATGAGCCAGATGTTGCCCTGAAAGAAGTTATAAATCCTAACCTTGTTTGAGAAAGGAAGGAGGCCCGGGGAGGGATGGCGAGCCCGCGAAGGGAGGCATCAGCGTCCCCTATATATGGAGGGAAGTCTTTCCAGAACATCAGCAGTGGGTGACGCGGAGGACAGTGGATTCATGGGAGAATCCACTCTGTGCTGATGTTTTTACTGGATTTGACGGTTTCCTAAAAGAGAAGGACTCGTGTGAGGGGCTGAAGCCCAGGCTGGAACATCTATAGTCCCTTTCACGTAGGGAAGAACCCTCAACTGGTTGGTCCGTTGGTCGCCCTTATAAGCCACAGGAGCCTCCCAAATATTACAGGCTACGAATGCCAGCTGCCTCCCCATCTTAAGAGAATCTAAAGCCTTCGTGATGGAAAAAAAGTCCTGGAGTCTTTTTTTTTTTTTTTATTTTTTTTAACATTTCATTTATTTTTGAGACAGAGTGCAAGTAGGGGAGGGGCAGAGAGAGAGGGAGACACAGAATCGGAAGCAGGCTCCGGGCTCTGAGCTGACGGCACAGAGCCCGACGTGGGGCTCGAACTCATGAGCCGTGAGATCATGACCTGAGCCGATGTCAGTTGCTCAACCGACCGAGCCACACAGGTGCCCCCAGTCCTGGAGTCTTACTGAGCTGTGGTGGGGGGGGGTGTCCAAGCACAGGGATCAGTCACCGAGGCAGCACGCAGGACACACAGGGATAGCCCTGGGTGATCCTCTCCCTACTGCGACTGAAACAAATCACCACAGATCTGGCTGCTTAAACAACATGCCTCCATGGTTCTGGATAGAAGTCGGCCTCGGGTCTCATTGGGCTAACGCTGGAGGACGACAAGCCTGGGCTCCTCCCAAAAGCTCTAGGGACACTCTCTGTCCTTGCCCCCCAGCTCTGAGAGGCCACCTGCACTCCTTGCCTGGTGGCCTCCTTACTCCACTCCACCAGGGTGCCTCCCTCTGTATCTTTCTTCTACGACCGTGTCTCCTCTGACCTTCGTCTTCTGCCCCCTCTTCCACCTGTAAGGACCCTTGTGATTACATTGGGTCCACTTGGAGAATCCTGGATCATCTCCCTAGCTTAAAGTCAGCTGGGGGTGCCTGGGTGGCTCCATCGGTTAAGGGCCCCACCTTGGCTCAGGTCACGATCTCGCGGTTCGTGGGTTCGAGCCCCACGTCAGGCTCTGTGCCGACAGCTCGAAGCCTGGAGCCTGCTTAGAATTCTGTGTCTCCCTGTCTCTCTGCTCCTCCCCCTGCTCACAGTCTCAGTCTCTGTCTTTCTGTCTCTCTCTCCAAAGTAAACCTAAAAATAATAATAAAAGAATAATAAAGTCCGTTGATCCGCAGCCTTAATTCCTCCCATGACCTTCATTCCCCTTTGCCATGTAACCTAACACATTCCCAGGTCCCGGGGAAGGACATTCACATTATTCTGTGAGGAGCCATGGTGTCCTTTACCGGGGATTCTCACTGAGCGCAAGATCATTTCTCGTTTGGAATCATGTAATACAAATAATATACATTTACTATCTGCCTGGCATCGTTGTAAGCACTTCGCATGCGTTTAATCTTCACGACAGTCCTGTGAGGCAGGTGCTGGTATTCTCCCCACCATATAAATGACAAGAAAGTGCAAGTCCATGGCTGGTAAAGGGTCCAGCACCCAGCCTTCTGGCCCAGACTCCAGGTTCGTTACTACGAGGAGATAAATAGAGGGGCTTTGCCTTCCAAATACCAAGGACAAGAAGGCTTCCTGGCTCCCTGTTCCCTGTAAGTCCTCCTGCACAGAAGAGGGCTCCCTCTGTTACGTCAAAGGCAAGGGAAGGTGAGTTATAAAGTTACGATCATCGTGCTGGCCTTGACCCTGTCCAAGTCCTGGCCACATGGATCTGAGTTTCTAGCTAAGTATGTGGAGGAACCAGAGACATGCTCAGCCTTGTGCACTCTGCTTACACCGTGACAATAGGGGCCCAGGGGCTGCTGAGGCATGGAAGTGCCTTCACTGCTATGTTCCATGGGTGGAGACAGCCTCCGCCTGGGAGAAGAAGCAGAGTATTGTAAAATGAAGTGTGGGCCACCTTCAGGAGACCCCGGAGTCTGTTTGGTTGAAAGGGAGAGAGTGAAGTGTCCCAAGGGGAAGTTGAATGCTCATCTGTGTGTCCCTGGGTGGTGGAACCCTGTGGGAACAACAGAGACGTCCTCTGTGGAGGGGACCACCCGGCCACCCACTGCCTGCATGACTTTCCCACAGTGACAGAGGGAAGGCGGGGCCAACAACCCGGACCGGAGGTCGTCTCCCGGAGCCCCTTGATTGTTTCAGAACCCACTGCCTTCTTGGTCCAAGACTCAATGGCTGGGCCCCAGTTGGCACGATCAGCTGTAAACCAGAGAGAACAGAGAGCCAGCTCGAAGCTCCTCGGGGCCCCGGGAAGCAAGACCCAGGGAGCCTCAACCGCCAAGTTCCGCAAATTTCACAAGTTTGTTACAAACCCCAGAAGCGTTGTTTGATTGCTTAAAAACGATTTAATTTTTGCAATCTCCCAGAGAGAGGGTGCCTCAATTAAAACTGGTGTCAAAAAAGAGTGGCTATGGGGGATAAAAGATGGTTTTCTTCCAAAGAGGGCAGCACGCAGGGGTGGAGAAGCACCCCAGTGCCAGAGCCGTGGGAAGCCCTGAGCTCTGACTTCTGGGGCGTTAAGATGCCTGTTCCCACGGTGGAGCCCATTAGGTTACCTTCTCGAGGCTCTCCTAGGGAGCTGACTCTCGTCCGAACTTTGTGCACCGTGAGAGAAGAGGAGGCCTCTTGTCCCAGTGGAGAAAGGGATGAGCTGGGACATCAGACAGGCCTAGGGCTGAATCACCGCCCGGCCGCTTCCTCCCTTTGTAGCCCCAACAGGTAATTTAGCGGAGCCTCGGGTACCTGAGCTGCTGAGTGAAGGGGAACGGTACCAACGGTGCCACCCTGTCGGGGTGCCGAGGCGGGCCAGCACAGGAGCCGGTTGTCTGTGGGGCCTGGACAGTGGTCACCGCTACCTGCTTTGCACATCACCATCAGGATGGCCTTCCTACCGTAGAGGCCATCGACGGGCCGTTTGTGACCGTGCATGCTGCCCGTACAATTGTGACGAGTCCAGGGGTCACAGGGACTGGCTGCCTGAGGCACGATGCAGGAAGCTCTGTGCAGCCTAGGAGGGGAGCCCAAGGTGGCCCGGGCTCCGGGACTCCGTCCCCAGGCACGCAGGGGTAGGCAGACCGCGTCTACAGCAGGTGTCCCCGGGTGCCCAGGGAAGAGGCGCCCACTCTGCGCTAGGAAGGTGGGCGTTTGCAAGTGTGACCCGGGGGAACATGTGCCAGGAACATTCCTTTCCGGCTACTTCACTTGAATGACACACTTCTGGCACAGAACCTGGCCCCACATTTTACGATTTCGCACCAGCTAGCTGGGTTGACCAAGTTGCTCTCGACATATTTCCATTGCTTTGGCTGCCTAACGTCATTGCAGTCACGGGCGCACCCCCGTGTTCTCCGGCACCAGCCAAACACACATGCAGCTCTGGCTGGTTTCAAAAGGACCGCCCCCCCCCCCCCCCCGGGGCCCCCCAGAGCCGCGGGGTCCCGAGCCGCCAGCTGTGCGCACGGATTCAGCAGCGCTGGGCGGCACTCAGGGGCTGCAGGTGGGGAAGCCAGCGAGCTCCGGGTCTCCCACGGGGAACCAAGTCACTTCCTACTTGGGGGCGCTTGGCACCCTGACCTCTCACCCTGGGAGCGGGCGAGATGGCTAAAGGGAAGCATGATCTGGGCCTGCAATCACTCACAAGCGACAACACGACACCCACTCCCGTGAGCCAACTGCAAACCACACGTGACTGCGTGGTTTCTGTCGGCTACACGCCTCTCTACCGGGAGCAGTTTCGATACTATGTTCGCCCCGGAGGTGGGCAAACTTGGGGGATGTTGCTCGGCGCCAGAGGCGGGGGGGAAAGGCACAGGGCACGGTATCGCAGGACAATCAGCCAGCCCGGCTCCCAGGACCTGGACGAGTTCAAAGGTCAGGCAGCGATGGTCAAAGTAGTCCCTACGGAAAGAAGCCAAGAGACGGCGGCAATAGCAAAATGGGGCCGGGCAGGGTTTCAACGGCTTTCCGGGGATCAACTCATCCCATCCTCTCACAGCAAGCCTGTTTCACGATGGGGAAACCGAGGCAGGTCAAAGAACAAAGTTGCAAAGTTACAAAGCTCCTAAGTGCCGCCGCTGTGATTTGAGCCCTCGGTCTGACTTCTGACTCCAGCGTCCGCGTGCGTCACCTTGAGTTGGACAAATACGGGGCATCTCGCGAGGCAAACGCAGGGGAATCTGAAGATGCCCAAAGTCCCCCTTCGGCGGAGAGAAAGGGACGCGGGGTCAGCAGCACAGGGTGAGGGAGGACGGGCAGGTTGGTAAAGGAGCTTCCCTCCCAGGGGACACCTTCTTCTCTCCGAGCCCGGAAGGGCCTGGGGAGACCGTATCACTTCACTAAAATGCATCTCACAAATGATGGAGAAGCACAGCCACCCCCTCCTGTTCCCCCAAACACTGTCCCCAACGCCATTATGCAAGGGCCGATTACAGCGGCCCCGTGGAAGTCACTTTCGTGGTCATGGTTTTCAACTGCAAACAAAAGAGGAAACCGCTTCAGGAAGAAGCACGTTTTACCAACCCCACGGTCAGGGGTGCGGGAGACCCCGCTGCCGATGAGTCTCAGAAGGACTTACCGTGGGCAGGGGACAGCCGGGGATGGCCTGGCCAGGAACAAGGAGGGGGAGCCAGTGCTCGGTGACTGGATCTGGAAGTTGAACCTCACTCTGAAGAGCGGGGCGCTTCCTGGGAGCCGGCCTCTGACCCCTGACCCCTGACCCCCGGGGCAGTTCTGAGGAAACACCGAGGGGCGTATCCCAGGCAGGCTCTCTTGGCGGGTTTCCTTTAGCACATAGAGGGCTTCAGCCTCAGCAAATGTTCTGTCCCAGCCCTGACCATGTGGGCCGGTGTTTACCCACACGGGACATTCCAGGAGCACCCCCTGTGATTCCTGCCACCCCCAGGCCGGCTCACAGCCACTCCAGTCTGCTCTGCATCCTGACCACGGCAAGGACACCTCAGGGGCGGGACTGGCAATGATGCACCTGGGTCCTTGTGGCCCCACGACTCTCCAAGCTGACACCCACCTGGGCAGGCGGGGCAAGCCGAGGGGAGCTGACCCCAGGAGTCTGGCCGTGAGGGGGGGGTTCTCATGACTCACCCTCAGGGTATGAGGGTGCTAATACCTACCCTGCAGGGTGTAAGATGAGATACTTGCTCGTCGATTCGTCGAATATTCGCGCACCCACTGTATGTGGAGCCCTGGAAATGGCAGGATTTTGAAATCATTGGCTGGAAAGAGGAGGAGGGCTCGTTTCAAGGAGCAGAGCTCGTGGGGTGAAGGGGAGGCAGGGGGGAGGCCTGGAGGGGCTGCTGTCCTCAGGGGCATCTGCCCACACAGTACGCAGTGCAGGAATCGGGGGTGTCCCACATCTTTGGGGTGCCGGGTAGCTTCTGCCAGTGGGGCCACTGCTTCCCTGGCCTTCAGGTACGTTCCTCTGGTCAGCCCCTGAGGTGGCGGACCGCACCCTGTCCCTCACACCAGCCCCTGAACCAGGGCAGGGCCAGCGTGCCAGAAGGAGACAAATCCGGCCCCATCCAGTGCGAAGCCTAATTCAGCTCCTGTCCCAGGAACCACAGCCACGTCGATGTGCCTTATGTTCCTCGGATGGCGCTCCAGGTGGCCCATGGCGGTAGTCCCAAGATGGCCTCAGCAGAAAACAATCAGACCCGGGGAAGCCCCCTGTCACCCAAACACCACCTCAGAGACCGCCAGCTTCTCGGGCTGCCATTGGGAGGGGGGACAGAGCACACTGGTCGTTCAGAAGCTGATGGAGACCGTCGCTTACCCCAGGCGCTGTCTCCCCCTTCCCCACCTCGGTCAGCTCCCATCGGGGGGAGGCCAACAGAGTCCCTTCAGGTGACCTGGCCTGTGGCTCACTAGAAGCCACCTCTTCTCTAGAGGTTGTGCCCGCGCCTGACGTAGACGCAGTGCCTGCCTAGGATGGCCACGCGGATGCAAAAGAGCATCAAACTCAACTCTGAAGCACCAGGTCTTAGGCCAAGGCCAACTACTCTGAAGCACCAGGTCTTAGGCCAAGGCCAACTAACCAGGCTCCTCAAAGGTCGCATTAGCCCTTTGCCCTTTTAGGGAGAACATTCCAGATCTGATGCACAGAGTGCCAGGCATGAAATCAGCGGACGTGAGCCTCTCCTCTCCTGGACTTACTGAGCCCGTGACCTTGGGCAAAGCCATTCACCTCCTGGTGTCTCCAATGTCTCATCTTTAAAACGGGCACAGTAGTGCTTGCGGGTCAAAACTAAGTCCTGTCTGTAAAAGTGTTTCGCGACTGTACGGAGACTAGGAGCACAAAATAGTAACAGCATCAGGCATAGCCCTCCCGGGGAAGGAGGGAGCAGGTGAAAGGTACTCATGCTTATTTATGTTTCTGAATTCCCAGGATCTTGGCTTGTTTTTGCATTCTCCAGCCAGCCCATGACAAGCCCTTCACTTGTGAACATATAATCTGAAAACCAATTCCTGTCTGAAATACAAGGCCATGGCTGACCTTGACCCTGGGTCCCTGACACACTTCCAGGGTGGAGGTTGCATGGCACGGAGGGAAGAGCCGTGTCAGGACGGCCACATTAAACACCCATGGTCTCTATATCTAGAGACCAGATAGACTTTTTTTTAATTTTTTTTTAATGTTTATTTATTTTTGAGAGAGAGAGAGAGACAGAGCATGAGCACAGGAGGGGCAGAGAGAGAGGGAGACACAGAATCCGAAGCAGGCTCCAGGCTTCGAGCTGTCAGCACAGAGCCCGACGCGGGGCTCGAACTCACGGACCGCGAGATCATGACCTGAGCTGAAGTTGGACGCTTAACCGACTGAGCCACCCAGGCGCCTGAGGCCGAATAAATTTAGCTGGAACCCAAAATGAACTGGACCTTGGCCAGCAGATGCTTCAACATAAATTGAAACTCTAATCTACATCACTTATGCTGGGCTTCTTCACGCCCGTGCTCCCCTCCAGGATGCGATGCATCACTGTTCCCTGAGAAGTGTGGGGCATTTCCTGGGCTGGTGACCTTGGGTAGGCTGGTGAAATTCTGGAATCTGTGGTGAAAATCTGGAATCGGGTCTCCATTAGGGGAATCCTACACTGACTGACTGGCTCTTCTACGTAAAGGTTTTAAGAAAGCAAAGGTCTTCCTGGTAGGAATCGAAGAGAACTGACATCCGGTTGTATTGGGAGGACCTGTCCTTCAGAGTCAGACGGATCTTGATTTAGTGGGGACTCCAGGGTGTCTGTGCAGAGGGGCTTGGGGCAGCCATCTCTGTGAAAGGGAGGAGGCAGGGGAACCCCGAAAGTGTCATCGTGTCCCCTGCATATTCTTCTTACTCAGACTGTGTATTTATTTGGGGGAGCGGGATGTCATGGGGAAGGACGTTGCTGCCGGAGATGGGGCCGCAATGGAAACCTCCCAAACTGCCCCTTGACAATGTCATCATCTTGGTTCAAATTCAGGAACTGCTATTTCCCTCCTGTGTGACCTTGGGTAGGTCACTCAGCCTCTCTGAGCCTGTTTCCTCACTCATAAAATGGAAATGATAATTCCACTCTGTCAGGTTTTCTTTTCTTTTCTTTTCTTTTCTTTCTTTTTTTTTTTTTTTTTTTGGTGGGGGACTATCCGAGATACCATATTGGAAAGGGCTCAGCACAGTGCGGGCGTATGATAGGCGCCCGACACAAGCACGTTTCTTCCATCGCTGGTCCCCAGATGTCTTAGGACCCTAATGAAGTATCCAGATGGGTACTGAGATCTGGAAAGTCAAAAAGAAAAAGAAGTTAGCCAGGTTTCGTGGGGGTTTGCCTTTCGACTTTGCTGCCCACCAACAAGTGTCTTCCGAGAGGATGTCACATCTGCCCTCCACATGGTGAGCCCAGAACGCCAAGCAGCTGTCCTACTTGAAAGGGAACCTTCACAGACCCAACTACACAAGCAGTGCCGGGCCTACGGATGAAAAAGTGGCCATAGTGAATGAATTAGACCAGCGGTTTGCCCAATGTCTGGAGGCATTGTTGCTCTTCCCCCTCTCTCCCAGAAGCCCTAGGGTCTGGACAAGACGGTGTGATGGAGGGCTACATGGTACACATGTCCTCAGGACCAGGTTCCCTGTAAGGAGCCCCCAGAGGCTCCTTGGAGAAGTCCTTGGGTGGGCAGGGAGCTACAGAATTTGCCAATGGCCGACACCATAAGCCCATTCATTCGTTCATTCATTCAAGGGAAGCCCCACACCTTTCTTAGAGAAGTGAAGATAATACATGACGTGTCCCTAGTCCCCACGCTCGAATGACTTGTCCCAAGTACAAACAATGCTGGCTGGGTTAGGAATTGAAAGTTGCAAAATTATCTGCCTGGAGACCTAAGCCAGGGGACTGAGGAGCCACACACCTGCCCTCTGTGTTCCCTTGCGGGCGCCCCCCCTCCACCCCCTCCTAGGAATGCGGGCCCTTGACTCCTGTGCGGCCTCAGCCCCGGGTTCTGGCTCACGGCAGCCGTCGCGAATGGATCCTGGAGAGTCCCTTTCCTGCCTGCGCGTGGCAGCTTCCCACAGATTGGGAGTAGGGGGGGATAAGCCATTTAAACAAAATTGCTTTTGAAACACAGATGAGTTCGAAATCTAGAAGAAAGGGTGCTTGGCAAGAGCTGTTTGGGATTTGGCAGGTTCCGCAGCTCACGTTGTTTGACGCTTCCATAAACCAGCTGCTTCCACGGTTCCCGAAACATCAGCTCCCGAGGGAGCGAGGCAGCCCTGGGCTCTCTGGGCAACAACAGTTGCCTGCATAACATGAAACCTCTTCTGGACGGGCTGTCCAATCAGCACCCAGCAGGCGGACCCAGGGGAGTGCAGCACCCATCCAAAGCGTTTTGTTTCCTTCCTCTCCATGGTTTCCCTAACAACGGGACCCCCGCTCCCCGCCCCCCCCCACCACCACATGCCAGGGCAATAGAGAGTCAGTTCAACTAACCATGTTTCCCAGCAATTGACATAATAGACTCCTCCCCAGGGAGCAGAGCTGTCTCCTTACCTGGGACCTCCAGAAGCCCCAGCCTCTAGGCATCACTGGAGGATCTGATCCAAGCCGCCAGTCCTGTGGACCCCTCCCTCTTCTCTCACCAAGGGAAATTCTTCACCAATCTCATCCCCAGCCTGTTCTTTCCATGCACCTATCCTTGGCCTAATCGGAGAAGCCCCAGCCAGAAGGATACGTGCCCGTATCTTCCCTGATTCCAGGGTCCCTTCCGGCCCCTCCCCAGCACACCCCCAGTTCCTAAGCAGCTCGCAGGAAAACACAGCCAAGACCTACCTTTGACTGGCTGTGCTATAGCAGCCAGATGAGCGAACCCACTGGGGTTTTGACTTCATTCATCAAAATGGGATCAGAGGGTTCCGGGTAAAAGTTTGTCAAGCTGAGTGAGCCCTGCCCAAGGCGTCATCAGGAAGGCTTCAGAGGTCTGGGTCAGGGTGAGAAAAGTAAGCCTTCCCTTTGTGGTTTGCTGACCCATGCTGTGTGGTCTTAAAGCCTGAGGATCAGGGAGGAGGCCTCAGGCCAAAATTCTGGGCTCAGATCTACAGGGCCCAAACGGATAGGCTTTCATTACGGTGAAAAATGTATAAAGATTAGCGGGTGTTTTTGTTTCCTTTTGTTCTCAGAACGTAGCTAGGGTTTAATACAGTTATCTTGAGGGTTTGGGATGGAAAAACATACCTAGCATAATTCTTGGCACGTAGTAGGAGGTCAATGTATGGTAGCCATTGACTTCTCCTCACCTCCGCACAGGCATAGCTCCCGCTCTGCCCAGCAAGGCCGGACTGCCCGGGAGTCTTCTGTGTCTTGCAGAGGAAGCTTCTGGGGATGCTGGTCTGGGGATACAGGTCCCTCCACCTGTAAATAGGTCGTGTCTTACTTACCCGTCTTCTACTCAGCAGAAGAAATCAAATGCGAGTGTTCATTGAGGACTGGGTTAGTCAAAATGACTGCTCTTTTCTGGTGTGCTTTATTGGAGTGTAAGGCAATCCCCGCTTACCGTGGGGGTTTCAATGTACCGAAAGTTCCAGCGCTTTGTGGCCGGGCCGCATTCACTGCAGACAAAGCATAATGAGCCGCGCGTCTCACATTACCTAATCACATGGTGGCCGGCGCGGCCCCGGGCAGGGCTGTGGTGCCTCCATCTGAAGCTCAAAGGGCTTAAAGAAAACCCTTTCTTTATTCTGGAAGTAGCATTATCTGGGTTTTACAGAGAAAGATAGGGAGAGGTGAAGTGACCTGCTTTAAGACCACACAGTAAGAAGGGGCTGGGCCAGGAAGGGGGCCCAGGCAGCTGACTGATGGAGCTCCTTGGCAGGAAGAGCACAAACAGGAAGCTGCTCTCCAGGGAGGAGACCGGACTTGGTAACAAAGGCCAGTGCAGAGGAAACTGAAAAGCCTTGGCCTGAAGAAAGGTGTGCAAAGAACACCTTTATCCTTGAGGAAGCGGAATGCAGGATGGGAGGGACATCAAGACGCAGGGAGAGAACATCAAGGCGGCCGGAAGTCTGGGTTAGCAGAGATTTCTCCAGCACCTGGCAGGTGCCCATAGCCTGCCTCGTGGAGTGACCTCCAGGGAGGAGACTTATTACCCCTGCTTCTGTAGGACGTTATTTTTTTTTGTTTGTTTATTTTTGAGAGAGAGAGACAGAGCGCGAACAGGGGAGGGGCAGAGAGAGAGAGAGGGAGACCCAGAATCCGAAGCAGGCTCCAGGCTCCAAGCTGTCAGCACAGAGCCCGACGCGGGGTTTGAACTCACGGACCGCGAGATCATGACCTGAGCCGAAGTTGACGCTCAACCGACTGAGCCATCCAGGCGCCCCCATGTAGGACATTATTTTTAGCAATAATGATAAATGCAGCAATATTAATAATGGGTCAAAAAGAAAAGCAGATAGTGAATTTTTTTCTTTTTCTAACCCTTTTGTACATGGTTTTGCATGTCAAACGAAAAAAGAAAAAATACAATAAATAGTACAGTACTATAACATATTTGATAGATTTGAACTTTTTAATGACATTAATTACATTTTACTTACATTAGTGTATGTTTTGGAGAAATACTGATACTTATATATTAGTGTATGGCAATAATGACTAATACTATAGTTTCCGATTTTGATAATTAATTTCTTTCCTGTGTCCATGACTTTGTAAAATCGATCTTCATATTTTCATGCTCAGTGGCCAGCATGGCCAGATTTGTCTACCTGCCTTTGCTCCTGGTTAATCGGAGAACACGGCTTAGTAATTTTGATTTTGAAATGTGTTTTTCATGCAAAGCAATATAGAATGATGAATAATCTTAAGCAAGAGAATATGTATGGCAAAGAGTCATAAAAATCTAATTTCACAATAAATTCTAGAAATTACAGTACTCCTCAGAATTCTTATTTCTCTGGGACCCATTCTGCTGTCTTTCAAATGTCTCCAGAGTTGAAAATTTTTACATAAATAAACTCCAAGTGGCTACACAGATTGACAAAATTGAAGTAACTCCAGCTTCACGGAAGGTCACAGAGACTTTCATGGTAAAATATATAACTTGGTAAAATATATGAAATTAACAAAAATTCTGAGCTAAGGAGAAGAGAAACAAGCGGAAGAAGTCTAGCCAGGGAGGAAAAGTCACATCCAGTCTCTATACACGGACCTCGTCGCTAGAGGTGACCTGTAAATTTAGCTCCACACTCTGGGCTTCCTGGCAGCCAAAGGGAAAAGGGTGATATGACCAGTCAGGGCATTCACACTGACAGCAAGGAAGCCCCTGTGGGAGAGCCTTAGGAACTGCTCCTTGTAAACCCCTGCAGAGGGTTCCCTTCAAGCGCCAGCCGCATCTACAGGGGGAGATAAAGAATTATAGGACAATTGGCTTTGGCTTTTGTATCCCCTACACTTTGCTTTTGGTTTCAGACCTGGAAAGGATGAACTTGGGAAAGAGGCAGCAGGGGTCCCAGAGGCCCTGTGAAGAACTATCAGAAAGGGACCCCAAGAAGATTAATCTTACTAAGAAATTAATGAGAAAATTTGTGTTTCGCACATTTTAGAACTGAGGCTCTATAAATGGCCATGCTTAATCCGAAGGACTAGATCAAGAATTACGAGGAAGGTTAAGCCGGAAGCCGAGCAGCAGGATGACTTAACATTCCCTTTGAGCTTCCAGGAGTCTTATGGGGCTGGGTGACAAAAAGGGAACTCAGGAGGAAGGGCCAGGTTAGACACCTCAGGCCTTCAGGCGAGACTCCCCCGGAAGGGGTGATCCAGAAAGAGAGCTGGCTGCAGAAATCCTGAATCACTTTTAAAGAGCTCAGGGCTTGACCGGATTAATGTGATGTCAAAGGAAGCAGTACATTCCTAAACAACCCATGAGTCAATGTAGAAATCACAATGGAAATTAGAAAATATTTTAATGAAAGATAATAAAACTGAAACATATCGAAACATATGGGATGCAGCCAAAGCATGCTTAAGAGAAATTTATAGCCTTAAATGCATCATTAGTAAAGAAGAAAGGATCAAGAAACAATGCACCGGGTTTCCATCTTAAGATTTTAGTAAAAGAATTGCAAATTAAACTTTGAGATGCTACAAGGAAGGCAATAATAAACAGCAGGAATTAATGAAGGGGGGAAATAATAATACAACAAAGAAAACCAACAAAGCCAAAAACTATCTCTTCAAAAAGACTGAAAAAATTGAGAAGCTCCTGACAAGACTGATTTCTTTTAAAAAGGGTGAGGCACAAATAATTGATATCAGGAAGAAAAAGAAAAGACTTATCAATATAGCCTATAGCCATTAAATAAGATAAGAGGCTGTTCTGAACCAATTTATGGTCTTTTTTCTATTAAATAAATTAAATCCATAATGAGAGATCTCTCCACAAGGAAAACTCCAGAACCAGATGGCTTCATCAGTAAATTCTTCCAAATACTTAAGGATGAGATGTAATTAATCATACACAAACTATTTCAAAGAATAGAACATAAGTGACCTGTCAACTCAGTTTTGAGAGCTGTATTACCTCATTATCGAAACCTGACTGAGAGAGAAAATTATGGGCTATTTCTTTCTCCTAAACATGGAGGTCGAATTCTGAACCAAACATTATCATACTGCATCCAACAAACAAAATGGGTCTTGTTGGAAGACTCAATGTTCCAAAATCAGTCAGCGTAATTTACCATAGTAGCGGAATAAAGAGGAAAATCATTGATCAACTCAAGGGATTCAGAAGAATAATTTCATAAAACTAACCCCCTAGTGATAATAAAAACTCTCTTAGGAAACTAGGACTAGATGGGAAATACTTTAACATGAGGGAATATCTATAAAAATACCTCCAGTAAATATCATACTTAATGTTCAAATAGTGATACTTTCCACCCAATATTGAGAACGAAAGATGCTCCCTGTCTCTACTTCTGTTTATCATTATACTTAAGGTCCTAGACTTTGCAATAAAGTTAAAAAAAGAAATAAAATGTTAAGAATTGGAATGAAAGCATAATTGCGTATATAGAAAGTACAAAATATTTTACAGAAAACTATCAGAATTAAGAAGTAAATCAGACAAGTTCGTCGGATAAAACATGTCAGTGCACAAGAGTCAATTACATACAACAGGAAGAAAAAAACAGAATCCCAAATGAAAACATTGATAAATTGGACTACATTAAAATTTGAATCTTTTTTCCATCAAAAGAAATCGTTAAGAGTGAGAAGGGAAAGCCACAGAGAAGAAGATATTTGTGATCCATGTAAATGACAAAGGATTCCTACCCAGAAAATGTTAAGAACTCCTATATGTCACCAAGAAAAACAGACAACCCAAGTGAAAAATGGGCAAAAACCCGAAACAGGCCAATACATACCCAAATGACCAATAACATTTGAAAAAGTGTTCAATTTCATTAGTCATCGGGGAAATGCAAACTAAGATACATTCACCAGCGTGGTAAAAATTAAAAGAGCCCAACAATACCAAGTGCTGATGAGGCTATGGATTCCCCAGACCCTTGTAACTATTTGTGAGGAGTACGAACTGGTGCAGCCACTTTGCAAAACCACGTACCGGTATCTACTAACACCAAAGTATGCACGCCCCTATGATCCAGCAGTTCTCTTCCTCAGTGTATAACCCACAGAAGTGTATATATCACAAGACATTTACGAGAATGTTCCAAGCAGCATTATTTGCAAGAGGCTCAAATGAAAAGCTACCCAAATGACCAGCAGTCGTTGAATACATACATAAATTGTGGTAAATTCAAACTATGGACATTTTTACAGCATTAAAAATGAGAAAACTATCTGTACGCATAACAATATTAGATCCGCTTTACAGACATAATACCGAGTGGAGAAAAAGCCGGATAAGAAGAATGCACAGTATACGATTCCATTTCTATAAACTTCGCCATCGATCTACTCTTTGGTGACAAAAACACCTCCTGCGGGGAAGAGGTGATTATTGGAGAGGACGTGGGGAGATTTCTCTCATGCTGGTAATAGTCTAGCTCTTGATTTGGCCGATGTGTTCACACTCGTGTTCACCCACAAAGCAGCACACTACGCGTTTCTTTATGCATGTTATGTTTCAAGGTTAAAAAGTTTGTTTACTAGCTAACTGTGCCAGTGGCGACTCACTTAACTACATTGAGGTTTCGTCCTCATCTGTAGAATCAGCGTAATAGTAACTAACCCCAAGAGGTTGCTCTAAGACACAGTGTGTGAAATGGACAGCACAGGCACGACTGAATAAACGGTAGCTGCTCTGTTATCACTCTCAAGGATTTCAGCCATTTCACTGTCTGCTTCTGGGATTCTCTGGCCTGGGTTGCCTGGAACAGCAGCCAGCTCCCTGCACGGGCACGCCAGTCAGCAGCAAACCCAGGATTTTCGAGGCCTCTTAGGATATCAGCCCCAAAGTATTCGCAGACCTCAGGTCCTCACACCCACTGTGGGATCAGCTGCTTGGAGGTGTGATGGGGATGGCAGAGGAAATTAAGCTGCTGGCAGGCCAGGCGACAGTGCCAGGACTTCAGGAGGCCCCAGGACAGGGAAACGTGGTCATTTGATCCAGAGGAACAGCCTCCGAGAAGGGAGAAGGGAGACGATCCAAGGAAAACCCACCTGGGACTTCGGGTGACAGGGGAGTTCAGAAGGAATGGCTCACTGGAGCCCCGCGGTCATAATGTGCGCGTCGTGATGACATTTCGAAGAGCACACAGACTCCATTCATCCTGCATGTGAACAGGGGTCTGCAGACTCAGCTGTTTTCTGGAAGCCGTGGGAA